TTTATTCTCATCTTTCCCTGATCTTTTGAATATATATATATCTTTGTCAATTACGTCTCAAAAAAGCTGAAGGGAAAAAATGGGCTAAATTCAGGCAATAAAATGTCTAGTCCAGTATATTAGTCAATACTCCAATCTTCAAAGAATAGATATTTAAAGAACAAACTTCTCCCCTTTTTTTCTAGCTAGGACGTAATGAAAACAGGAAGTCTATAATCAGAGAAGGTAGAGTTTTACTACTGCTCCTTTTCTTACTTTCCTCCTCTCTCATGCATAGGCCAGAGGAGGGGTAGGAGCCCCCACGACTAGCAAAACCCAAAGCAGGGTGCTTTCTCCCACAGTGTACAAACCTGACTCTTCCCTGGAGGTTGTACTCTTGTGATTTCTTTATTGATCTCTCTCCCTCTATTAGGTAACTCTTACCTATAATTTTAGAGAACTTAGATATATGTCTATTCCAACTGGTTGCTAACCAATTTTTTAACCCACCTGAATCCCATCTTTTTCTCTTCTTGGGGCTCTTTAGCTAAACTTTTGCACAAGTGTTAAGATAACCAACCCCATGTTTTCCCTCTTCCTTGTAGACCTTATCTAGTCATAACAAATACTACACTCCTTTCCTTACCTGAGAAACTTTGGGAGTATAAAATAATCAGAGAACTGCCCTGACAAATTGTCTCTCTTCATTCAGATTTTTTCAGGTCTAAGAAATGTATCAGTCCACTGATCTCCTCAACTTTGGGAGACACATATCACCCTGCAAGTCATCTAGTAAGAACCTCTCACTGAGAGGCACCAGTGACCCCTACTTTCTCCCTCCAGTGAAACCTTTCTCTCTAAGCTTATCTTTTCATTAACCCATTTTTATCTACTTTATCTGGCTATCTTACTTTCTTTGATTTGGATGAGTGTTTTAAGAGTCATCTACCTAGTTCTTTGCTGTCCACACTTTGCAAATTCTGCTAACACTTGCACTAAATATGGTGACTGAGGAATTAATGAGAAGTAGGGAAAATGCAGAAGAAAAAGACTACTCTTTGTAAATGTTAGTCAGTGGCAGAAGAGTGAGAGAGTAGAGATCAACTTCCAGGGCTCACAGGAAAGGGCAGAGTCAAAAGAAGAGGCTTTGGGATGGGGATGAAGAGTCTATTTGTAGGTAGTTATGATATAGCCAGAAGGGAGAGATTTAAGTTAAAATAAGGGGAGGATTTGGTGGAGTAAAGTTCAGAGGGAGGAAGAAGGAGATGTAAAGGGGAGATAGAGAACAGAGCACGGGAAGAAAAACATGAGGGGACACATCAAGGACAGGCAATATGTCATTAAAAATTTTATGTTGTTTTCTTCCAAGACTAGATTTAAAATTGAGAATGTTTGACAATGTAGACAAGTTGGAGCTGGAGAGAAGATAATCTGGAGATAGTTATGTCTGGTTCTGTCTGTTTAGCCTCTGAGGCAGAGGGCAAGATTGGCTGCAAGGACAAGGACTGAAGAGACTGGTAATAGTTTAAAGAGGGAGAGAAAGCACAAGGATGAGAAGCAAATACACGGCAGTATTCCCAGTCAGCACAGACACTTGGTTTTGAAGTCCTCCCAGGCTCAGGGCAGGAGCAAGTTCATCACCCCTGGAGCTGACCCACAGTACTGCAGAAAGGAGAGCTCTTAATAGCACTCAGATTACTCAAGAGAGTCAAGATTGAGGTGGTTTTGGTTCAGAGTAGGCGTAAAGATGAGAAAGAGGAATGGGGATGATCAAGAACATTAGGTAGGGAGTAATGGATGAGAGGTTTGAGAGAAGTTGGGAGCCAGTTATGAGGGAATTTAGAGACAAGAGTACTGGAAAGATGTAATGTATTCACAGAGTAGCATTTCTGGGATTAGGAAGATGTGAGAAGTAAAGAAGTTCCAAGTGATCAAAAACAAACAAAACAAAAACCTGGTTATGTTCATGAAAAGTGGTTGCTGGAACGGTAATTAAATGAATGAGAGGTGAGGGGGGAAAAGACCATCCCTCTGATAAAGTTCTCAGTGAATGGAAACTTGGAAGTCTCCAAAACTCCAGCCTACACTCAACCCTTTTATTTTACTGAGCTTTGCCTTCTTGATTTCCACCTCAGCACCTTCTAATAATGTAGTTTATATGTTGTTGTTGGTTTTGTTTTTTGTTTTTTGTTTTGGCTCTCCCCATTCCTCATCAATTTAGGTTAACATTTAAACCCAGGTATTATCATTTTTTTTTCTCAGTTAATCCAAGGAGTCCAATCCCAGTGTTAGTGACTCCTTCTACAGAGTGATAGGTGATAGAACACCATTCTTGAATAATTCTTGATCCTGAATTTGACTTGGGTGGGGACTAGGATAAGTAGATAAACCTAAACTAGAGGGAAGCAGAAAGGGTAAAAGTCAACCTGAATTTAAGAACTTTGAAGAACAGATGAAAAGATGATTTCTTTGAAGAAATCAGAGTCACTTAAATAAAGCTAAGTGAAAAAGCTAAGATCATCATAAATCTGGCCATAAATAAGGGATTTTAGTGGTAACAATAGGAAAAACTACAGGGGGTACCAGTAGAAAGGAAATGGGTAAGAGACTGGCACAAAATGCCATAGATGGGCATGAATATCTCCAAGGAGGAGAGTAGATTGGGGGGATAGTTTTCTCTGGTAGTTAAACGTTGTCAGAAAGACTATGGAAAATATAAGAAACCTAGAGATAGAGGTAGACAAGAGTGAAACAAACCAACATAAGAATCCCAACTACAAATGGCTAACAGACACATGAAAAAATGTTCATCATCATGAGCCATCAGGGAGAGTCAAATCAAAACCACATTGAGATATCACCTTATACCAGTTAGAATGGCCAAAATTAAAAGACAGGAAACAACGTGTGTTGGAGAGGATGTGGAGAAAGGGGAACCCTCTTATACTGTCGGTGGGAATGCAAGTTGGTGCAGACACTTTGGAAAACAGTGGGGAGATTCCTTAAGAAATTAAAAATAGAGCTTCCCTATGACCCTACAATTGCACTACTGGGTATTTACCCCAAAGATACTGCTGTAGTGAAAAGAAGAGCCAACTGCACCCCAATGTTCACAGCAGCAATGGCCACAGTCACCAATCTGTGGAAAGAACCAAGATGCCCTTCAACAGATGAATGGATAAAGAAGATATGGTCCATATATACTATGGAGTATTATGCCTCCATCAGAAAGGATGAATCCCCAACTTTTGTATCAACATGGACGGGACTGGAAGAGATTATGCTGAGTGAAATAAGTTAAGCAGAGAGAGTCAATTATCATATGGCTTTGCTTATTTGTGGAACATAAGGAATAACATGGAGGACATGGGGAGATAAAGAGGAGAAGGGAGTTGAGGGAAATTGAAGGGGGAGACAAACAATGAGAGACTGTGGACTCTGAGAAACAAGGTTTTGGAGGGGCGAGGGGTGGGAGGTTGAGTGAGCCTGGTGGTGGGTATTAAAGAGGACACATATTGCATGGAGCACTGGGTGTGATGCATAAACAATGAATACTGCAACACTGAAGAGAATTTTAAAAAAATAAATAAAAATTGAAAAAAAAAGAATTCTAACTAGGGAATTTGTTAGATGGTCTTCCAATAAAAAGTACATAGAGGAGATAATATGTACAATAATTGGCCCTAATTTTACTATAAAATCCTGGCTATACTTTTTATTTAACATTTACTCTACCATGTGTTTTCTGTACTCATTCAGAATGATTTAGAATCTGTAGAAAGGAGTAATAATGTTTTCAGACCATCAAGATGATATTCCTTCCAATGGTAACAGAAGTGGAAGAGCATGGATTAAGAAAACTAAAAAAGGTATGTAATAACAGCAAGAATTGTCTTAATAAATATTTTAAATATCATGTGAAAGATTTTAAATCACATTGGATTTTAGTAGAAAGCCAAATGCACTAGTTTTGAATTCTTTTTCAATAATTTATCACTGTCACCCTGTCCAAACCCTAATCGAGGTGCTAATGAAGAGTGTAACAGCCAAAAGACAGGCAGCAGGGAACAATGAGTTGAAAATAGCCCAGATAATCTCAAACCCTTGACTAATTAGCAATTATATTTATAAATACACACACGCATATTGAGAAACAGCTTTGATTGGTGTGTACAGAACATAATACTACTGCTTGGGGATAGGAATGCCAAAGAATTCATGGATATAGTCCCAACCCTAGACAAATTTATAATCTGACTGAACCCAAAAAACACACATGGAATAGGCAATCCAGCACATGTTCAAAAATACAGCAGTGAGCACACATGCATGACAATAAATGCCCATAGATACGCAGGGAACAAGAAGTATAACATTAAAGACCGTGTAATTTTGTAAAGTGGGTAATTTATTTTCAAAACGTACTTTACACATTAGGAAAAAATCCTATCACTTGATACAAAAATACATTTTAATCTCCTGATCTTTATTTTTTTTCTCTTTTTTTCCCCTACTCATCTTTAAATGTAAATTAGAAAGGCATGGACAACACAAATGGATGCAATAAGTTAATAAATAAATAAGCAATAAATTCAGGGGCCACATCAAGTTTCTATATACAAATACTGTGTATCCCAATCCTTATAGTATGTGTGTGTGTGTGTGTGTGTGTGTGCACATGTTTACTTCTATGGCTATTTCTCTACCTGTCTTTCTCCATCCAAATTGCAAGTTCTTTGAGGGAAAAGGATTTTATCTAATTAAATATTCCCAGACCTTAATACAAGAGACGTCTATTAACATACAGCAACCTATACATTGGAACTCTAGGAAATATTCAAAGATTACTATTATGCTAAAGCAACGTAGGCATCAAAGAGTCAAAAATATATCAACAAGCCAGGGAGGACAGAAAATACTGCTTTTTACAAAAAAAAATGAGAAAAAAATCATTGTTAGGAGATAAAGTAACTACAAATACAATTCAATACATATATTTAAATAGTATTAAAAATATTTACCTTCCAGTCTGAGGATCAAATCCAAAGTAAAGGTCTCTACAATGGTCACAACTTTGTCCAGCAATGGAAGTGTCTTGGCAAAGGCACTGACCAGTTAGGCTATTACAGATGTGATGAACAGCACCTGTTATATGGCATGAACATGGCAGGCAACCAGGGGCATTGCCTGGAGAAAGATAAAAACCTGGAAATAAAGAAATGAAAAGTTTATATATATATTTATTTATTTGCCATCCAGTCTTTTCTTTAAAAGGTAGTGTTTTGATTACACCAAAAACTAGAATGCTATCATGGCCCTTCCCAATGCCCAATTCAAATGTGGCTACAGCTGTTCTTAACTAGTGTGTCAGTTACAATCAAAAAAGGGCTGAGTAAATAATTTACATTGTATCTGAATGTCTCCCAGGCAACTCAAAGTCAGTGCATTTAAAATATACTTCAGAAGAGGTGCCTGGGTGGTTCAGTCGTTAAGCATCTGCCCTAGGCTCAGGTCATGGTCCCAGGGTCCTGAGACCCAGCCCTGCATCAGGCTCCCTGCTCAGTGGGAAGCCTTCTCCCTCTCGCACTTCCACTGCTTGTGCTCCCTCTCTCACTGTGTCTCTTTGTCAAATAAACACATAAAATCTTAAAAAAAAAAAAAAAGTAAATCTACTTCATGAACTTTCCATTAAAGACTAGTCCTCCTTTAATATCTCCATTCAGGAAATAGGACCAACATTAATTCAACTGCTCAACATAGAACCTTGTGACATCTTTGGGAAGGTAGCCAGACAAAATAAAAGATGGCCAGCTAAATTAAAGTTTCTGATAAACAATGAGTTTTTTCATAAAAGTCTGTGATATAGGTTTATACAAAAAATTTATGATTTTCTAAAATTTTTATTTAACTGAGAATTCTTTAGTTTGCTAAAACTGGCAACCCTCAAATCCTTCACCTCCCTCTACCCCATACATCTAGTTAAGCACCAGGCCCTATGGATACTAACTTCTAAGAATTTTAAACTTTCTCCTCTCCATCCCCACTGCCATCTCCCTAGTCACAGTCACTACCAAATTTATTATAGTTAACATTGTGGACCAGAGGCAATGGTATTCATTATCTCACTCCTCACAACAATGCTAATAATTCAGGTATTATTATTATGTTCACTCTATATATGACAACGCTGAAGGTTAAGAAGGTTAACAAACTTTCCTAAAATAATAGAGTCAACAAATAACAGATTCACACAGAGGCCATCTCCTCTCATGGTATCCCTCTTGTTCCCTCCAATCATTTCTTCACAGTGTAGCTGGAACAACATTTTTTCAGAGTGTAGTTTGAGCAGCACATTCCTCAATTGAAAATTGTTTGATGACTTCCTATTCCCTTCGGGGAACAAAAATCCAAATCCTTAACCCAAGCTCCAATCCCACTGGCAGGTCCCACCTGTATCTTCAGCGTCATTTCACTGTTTATTCCCAACTCCATCTCCTCCAGTCATACTTCTTCCTTTCTTGATACCTACATGCCTTGTCACTGGCATGTCTGTCCGCTGAAATTATTTTGACCTATCCTTTCTGCTTAGCTCACTCCTAGGCACATCAGGTCTTCTGACTTCCTCGAGTAACCTACTCTAGGCCAGTTTAAACATGCCTGTTCCAGTTTCATAACATCTTGTTTATTTCTTTCAGTGTGCTCATGAAAATTATACTTAATCTCACTTTCAACAGATTATAACCTCCATGAAGACAAGAACCTTGTCTGATAAATTCACGACTGCCACCAGCACCCAGTACGGTGTTTGTCACAAAGCAGGAACTCCTTAAACATTTGATGAAGTTACTCAAATGTACCAAATTATAAGTAGGCATTGATTTCCATAAGTATTATAGTTAAAAACCCACAGAATTTAGGCTAATTATAAAACCCGTATTTGCTTCTTATAGCAGAAGAGCTAGAAAGATGATCCAAAGTATCTTCACGTTACTTAAAATTTCATATAACCAACAGCTATGAAATTAGAAAGGCACTAGACAGTAGAATAATGGAACAGTTATATGAAGGAGAAATGGTTCTTGGCATTGTGGGGCATGTGTGTTTGTGCATACACATGCACCTCCACGTACATACACACACAAGCACATGCACAGTGTTACAAAGAATTTTACTGAAATGCAGAAAGAATAAAGTTCTAACAAATGAAAATGATCTGCACAATTGTCATGACCACTAATTTAGGTATATATCACTGAAACTGAAAGAGAGAAAGAACATGAACACAAAGTGAATCTACTGTGTATTACTATGCTATAGGGAGAAACAAAAGTAATTGGAATATATTATAAATCTCATTTGAGGCTCTGGTTGAAAACAAGCCATTCTTTCATAGCCATCCACAACTTGTATGTCTTCTCCCTAGCCCAGCATATTTTCTCCTTAGAAAGTTCCAGAAATAGTCAAATAGAAAAAGATTGTGCTCAAAGAAAGGGAAGAAACTCAAAATCAGTGCCATTCCAATCTGTTGGAAAGAACAGACTGATCTTGTCATGTTTTAGAGTAATTGGCAACTAGATTATGTCATTTGCTTCTTTGCATCCACTATAGCAATTTGCCTTATATGTGTTTCCAGAAGTATAGTTGTGCAAATTAATATATATTCTCACACCTGATTTATCATACAATCAAAGTCACACACTTCAAAGACTTTTATTTTGAATTCAAGAACACTATGGCTACAATTCGATGTATTTTTCTTCCTGTGAAGCTACCTAGGTCCTTAAATTCCTGATGATGGCATCATGAATGTACTAACAGCTCTCCAATTTGGATAAATTACCCATTAACACAGATACTTAGAAGTAGAATTAATTTGGACTTATTGCAATAGCTTCAAGCCACAGAGAATTCTAGAACAATTACAGATGATTTTTACAAGAAATGACTTATTAGATAAATCCGTAAAGGCAAGCAGGCATATTTTAGCACAGACAATTGGGTTGTCCAAGTTTTAGAAAAAAAAAAAAATTCCATAAAAAAAAATCAGAGATATACACAGAGAAGAACAAAAATGAAAAACAAAAACACAAAAACCAGGGAGACTGCAACGTGGAGGATGGTCTTCAAGGAAAAGCCTGCATTGGAATTTTCTTGGGGTTAATTCCCCTCCTCCTCTCTGGAGCATGATTATAAAGGTTAATCCCACCAGTATTTTAGTTGTCCTATTTTTAAGCAGTCCTAATTAGGATGACTCAGGTACCTTCCTGCTCAGTGATTACTTCTTGCCTTACCTGAATGTGCCTAATTCTAGACCATTACCTCTCCTTTTATGACTTCCAACTATAGAAAACAACATTTTCCCTTCCCTCCTACTTAAACCTCAACTCCAGAGTGTGACTTAAAAGATAACTGACCTCAATTTTCTTCCACTCAATACATTTCTGATCTCCTTCCATTAGCTCCACTTCATGTTCCACATCCTCGGTCCATAACATTTTAACTGATCTTCTGGAGGTTTCTACCCATGAATGATTTCGTACCACATTGTGAAGCACGGTCATTAAGACGATGCTATTCCCTTACATTACGTAGTGCTGAGGGTTCGCACATATTCAGCACCAATCAGCCCACTAAAGTTTGTTATTTTCCCCAGTTTTATTTCAGCAAGCCCCTGGTCCCAAACAAGACAAGTCTAATGGGAAAAACAACGTGTCTTGCTGTTAAAGCAAAAAGTCACTGATATTATAAAATACTGTTGCTTTATCCAGAAGACTTGCAGAATCCTTAGAGTTCAAAGTTATTAGCAAGGCAGCCAGTATTATCTCCTGTAGTGGCTATTTGCACAGCACAGCACTGTCCTGGGCATAAAAGAAGAGCCCATTTCCTAGCAATGTTCCTCCTGAGGACCATGAACAACCAGGCTTTGCCAAGGTCTGGAAATGGGAGAAAGAAAACAAGTTTAACCCCTAGGCCCTATTCAGAAAAGGAGGGCAGAGCTGAGGCCAAGCACTAATTATAAGCCATTTAGAAGAAATGATTCTCACCTTAAGCCAGAGAATGGACATAATACTAAGAGAAGAGTCTAGGGATAAATTTGTTGCTCACCAATACCAAGAAACAATATGCTTTAAGTAATTATTTTAAAAATCAATATTTTCAGAATGAACTATAGTAAGTGATCCTAAATTTTCAAATTAAAACAATAATAATTTTCTTCCATTTTGGTAATTTTATGTAAAAATAATGCTGAAATTATTATTCATAGAGTTGACCAAAGGTCAATAATTGTATAAATATTAATATTATTCAACACAAGGTATAATTTTTCATATTTAAAAGTTTTTAAAAACTCTTTTCAATTAGTTTAGATATGTTTTGTTATTTAAATTTTTTAAAGAATTTATTTATTTATTTGATAGAGAGAGAGAGAGAGAGAGACAGTGAGAAAGGGAACACAAGCAGGGGGAGTGAGAGAGGGAGAAGCAGGCTTCCTGCCGAGCAGGGAGCCTGATACAGGGCTCGATCCCAGGACCCCAGCATTATGACCTGAGCCAAAGGCAGATGCTTAACGACTGAGCCACCCAGGCGCCCCTAGTTTAGATATATATTTTTTTTAAGATTGTATTTATTTGTGAGAGGGAGATAGAGCATGAGCAGAGAGAGGAGCAGAGGCAGAGGAAGAAGCAGGCTCCCCGCTGACCAGGGATCCCAATGTGGAACTTGATCCCAGGACCCTGAGATCATGACTTGAGCTGAAGGCAGTTGCTTAACGGACTGAGCTACCCAGGCGCCCCCCTAGTTTAGATATATTTTAAAGTCTCTGCTCCTATCTCTTCTTCCTGGACTGCTATACTCTCCTTGATTATTTTACCAACTCCCGTTTGCTTTAAAAACTCATGTCAGAAAAAAAAATAATAAAAAAATAAAATAAAATAAAATCTCGTGTCAGAAATCATGTTCTCAAGTAACTCTTCCATATCCCCCACCCTTTGAGAGTGAATGAATTCCTTCACTTTACTACTTCTCTAATCGGACATTTCTAATATTGCACTTGTCACACTGTGTTATATTTACATACAGGTCCATTTCTCCTACTAAAGCAAATGCCTTAATATATTTATGATTGTATATCTTATACCAGCATAGACCCTGGTACATAGTAATGTATTCAATAGATGTTTACTGAAAAAATGGATATGTGAATG